GCTGAGTCAAAATGAGTGGCGTCCTCTTAATGTGGCACTCTCATGCAAGTGAGACCGGAGCCGCACCACATTTCGTGAAAACTTAGCAAATTGATGACGTGTGAGGCACGCGCAGACGGGCCGTCTAGCCTAGTCAACCATTGCGCCTGAGCCCGCCTCTGACCGTTGTGACTGTCTTGCCAAGATGGGTAGGACAGGAGAGGACACAGCAAACGTTGTGTAAGTCTGATATCTCCATAAACTAATTAACGCGCAAGTAGCTGGCGCTGCGCCCACTTCGTGGTGCAGACAGTGGGCGTCGTCGGCGACGAACTGCCGTGACTTTTTGCTATGATAGCCGTCCAATTTCAGCTCCGTTGCCCCTTCTGAGCAAATCGTTCCTACCAGAGGTCCAGATTAATAACATGCTTCTGTTATGTCAGACACAAATTTCACCGGATTCCGAACACCAACTGACCTCATGGCTCCTTATTCTCGGCAAATTTTATGGAGACATGTATTTGCGTGCCGGCTTGTCTACCAGTCCTCAGTTAAGATTCATCTGCCCAGTCGTAACGAATTTTGTCCAAGCACACGACTGCCTGCATTCGCTTAACTCATTCCCGACGACGGTTAGCTAAATGCCTTAAGGATGCTGGAGGTCAGGAGTCTTGTCTTCTATCAGGCCATCGACCACGTGACATCGAAAGTCCCACTATAATTCAGTGTGCAGTCGTCTACATCTACTTGTGCTGAATCATCCCATCTGTGCACGACAGCTTATTGCTGGCGTATAGCACTGCGTACTGAGTGGTCGGGGTTTAAACCGGAATACGGTAAATTCAAGGCAGAATGAGCGGTAGACTACCTCTCGCGCCCTCGCGAAGCGATATCCGGAAATGCATAAATCTTATATTTCCTTTCCAGGTTGGGCTGTTTGGAAGAAAGCATAAAGTGCCTGCAAAATCTTAAACGGCTGGCTCTCGACTGCAACGATGCAAGGGCACTGGTAGAGGCGGAGGTCTCCCTGGGTCGGGTCTACAGCAAGATGCTGAACTGCGAGGGCAAGGCGAAGCGCCACTGCGCCGAGGCCTTCCGAGTGAGTCTCGCGCTTGGCGATGAAGCGGTGGTCCGGAGAGCTGGTGTCTGGCAAGCAGTCAGTCAGGCGCACCACAGGATGGCCGAGTACACAAGCCTCATACGCGCCGAGTGCGATAGCGAGGCCCTCTCTCTTCTGCTAGAGTGGAAGTCAAGGAGGGAGAGTTTTGTAAAACGGCCGCTCTCCCTGTCACCTGCGACGCCAGTTACATAAATTCTGTTAACTCCTACCGAACCCTTTCTTCGTGTTGCACTTTGCGAAGGAAAATTTCAAGCACGGTACTCATTGTCACCTGTTTTGTTTTTATTGGATATTTGGATCATTTCTGTAGAATTTCCCAGTGGCACGCACACCATTCGTTGACTTTTAAGTCTTTCACGTAGCCCACTGACATGGGGCAGCTGAGTGCAGGCACGCCAACGGCAGGCCATGTATTATAAGTGACCTTGACGTACATTAACAACTCGCGGGTGCACCCCGACCATACCCTGACCCAATGGCCTTCCGGATAACTCCGTCTTTAAATTATTAGTGAGCCAAACTGGAAATTCGGAAAGATACGCAATCCCCATGACGGGATTTGGACACAAACTTTCGACATGAGGGTCAGTCTGGTGCTGCCGCACTGTAATTCTGAATTCTGCCCAGGTAGGTTACAGCCCACATGGCACTGGATGAGTGGCTATGTTGCAATGGGTTCGCTTCACCAATACGCTTCCACCTATCGCTCCACAAAGCCGTGCTGAGCACAGCGGCCACCCCTTTGTAACTGTCTAGGCTGACAACCAAAACCAGACAAGGGTCAACCACATCGCTTCAACACACGGCGAAGTTGTGGGTAGCTTCATCCGGTCAGCAGAGACTAACTAGTCTCGTGTCTGCATGCGTGGAAGGGAAGGCGGTAGTCAAGACGCTCGGTGCACCCGACCCCTCCTCCGCTAGCTTTTGACCCATTCTCATGTGAGGAAGCAGCTCGCCCCATTCTGCCTCGCTTTGCGAGTGGTATGATGATAAACGAAATGATGCCCGCGCCACCGCCAGTTGGCTAAGTCGTCTACGTAGGCGGTAGGAAGGCCGATGCCCGCGGCAACCACCCCCACGGCAAATCACCGCATCCGCCCCCTCCACAACCAGTCTCACGTGCGAAGCCGTTGCGTGGCTGCCCGATGACACGTCAACCCACGAACAGCTCGGACTGCAATGCCTCCCTAGCTTAGCCTTCATGGCGCCTTTCACTTATGGGATTCAGGCGCATGGCACGCACTTGATGGCAGCCAGACCACATCAACCACTGAGCATATGACCATCCGCAACCCACTTGGTCCGCACAGGCCATGAGGGGAAGTCCGATCTAGCACTTGGCTCCCCCACTGATAAAAACCGCCCTTCGAAATTACCACAAGCCGGAAATCCATTGATGGAACAACTCGGTCCAATCAGTTTAAGGACAGTTTCTATTGCGGCCCGCACTGCGAGCCCACTTCCGTGAGGCCACAGACCACCATTAAATCCTAGCGTTTAATTGGCGACCATATCGTATACGGCAAGTGCGGACAGTCTGTCGAACTTTTAACCGGTGCCCACGTCCATCCAGTCGTCTTGACCTAAGTTTAGGTCGGGACAGGCGGGAGCGACAGGGCAGCAATACCTATGCGGTCAAAATCTGTTTCACCACAATTTACCGCGCGAATTACAACTGCGTTCCCCCCCCCCCCCCCGGGGGGCAGAGGCTAACCTTATCGCTTGTGAGGGACTAAGTACCATATTGACAATACCTTGCGCGCTTCACTACTTTTGTACTAAGAACTAAGGCAAGTGGACGCTCCCGTATTCCAGGTTATCTGTCCGTGAAACGAAGGGTGGCAGCGCCCCCGGCCAGATTCCAGAGGAGCACTGAACAGGCTAAACCTAATATGAAACTGTTTGGGGTCCTAAAACGCCTGATTAAAAGTTTTCCGGAAGAGCGAGCTGACTTGAGCGCAACTGCTGCCTAAGGGGAAGGTGCGATCACGAAAGACAAACTTCGTGGCTCGCTGGAAGTAAACTCCATCACTAATAATTAGGAAGCACTACCACTTGTCTGAAGCGCCCTACCTAGGATCGACGAAATGTCACCCCAACGGCAAATCACTGCATAAAGAAGTTGGGCAGGTCGTACTAGCAGCCTAAACAATACTAGACCGCTCGAGACTGACCTTATTATTTGTGAATTTAGTTTTGCATATCCCTCAACTTCATGAGACCAATGGCTGCAAACGAAGGGCATTAGTACGCCCAGCCAACGCCCATCTCTGAAGCGAATGCAAATATGCGTCGTCGTGAACTGGGTGACTCGGGGCGGTGTACTTCGAAAATGGCAAGCTCGTTTATAGTCGGCGCCTGCATCAGTATCTGTAGTCCATAGCTGTTGATCAGTGCACATTCATAAAAGTCCTGGAGTTGCAATCCATTCCACACCCAGCAAGGGACAAAAATGCCACAGGTGAAGAAACGGAAGAATATCAACGATCGTGAATGACACCAAGTCGACCGGCTCGGCGTTGTGAAACAGGGTTCGACTACCTCACTCATTGGAACAGGAGCCTGAGCAATTCGTTTTAAGTTATGTCATTAATAGGAAAGGCGGTCGCAGAGAGCTAAGCCTGGGGAGGCCGGATTCTCAGAAAGGTCCGGTCTCAATGAATTCCTATTAGCTAGCAGTACGCCGTCCTCAAGTACCCTTCGATCTGCGGCTAAACTATTAGAAGCGCTTGGCAGGGAATACCGACGACGCATAGGCACCGGGAAGGGTTACGAACCACATTGTCACACGAAAAGGTCGACGTGCGTACTTGAACGATCCCCATCAGTAGCGGTTAAAAGTTTCTACAGACGCACGACTTACACCCAATGGGCATGACTTCGCCCATAACCGATGTAAATACCATATACGGGTTACCCAGTTGCAACCAGACGTCGGCTACGAGTGCCACAAACCGAGATCTACTGACTAAAAGGGGTTACGACAGACTAGACGCCGTAAGCGTCTGGAACACGAATCTTGGCATTTGCACGTTCGAATCCCTGAGACCCGACCATAAAGGGGAAGCGGGGAGCCGGTAATATGACAAAGGTATGCCCGCTAGCTAGAAAGCGACTGTGAATAGTAAAAAAAAACGGAGGATTGGGCGGCGTCACTAGCTAGTGACAATCAACACTGCGTTGCTCGGCGTCGCACGTAAGGCGTTAAGGTGAGAAAACAGCCAGCGAAGCCCACGGCCGACATTAACGACCTTGTTTCGATTAATCCTGTGGCGAATGCATGTCCTAACAGGGCGTGGGAGCTCATATGTGACGTAGTAAGATTACAAAAAAGCACAAATAAACCACAGTATCGGGGCAAACTTTACATCTCAGGACGACGAGCAAAGGGAGCATACGCCATTAGAAATCACGCCGATACACCGCCCATCCCAAAAGACTTCCAATGGTTAAGGGGGTTGTACTTCTAACCGACGGGTCGCTGGATCGAGCCCCAGATGCTCCACGGTTCGAAGTTGGGCATGGCTGCCTGACGACGGTTGATAAACCATAAATGACCGTTACGGCCACCCTTGTCTCTGTCGGCAATGCTCTTTTTCCGAAAAGTGCCTGTATTAGGTCCTGTTGCAAGGCATGGCCTTGTAAATAAAACCTAATGAAGAGCATGAGGAAGTTGCTTCAAGAAATGCGTGCGCCCAATAGGTAAAACTCCGGACACCTGTAAGGGTCGAATTCTGAATTGCGTCCATGCTGACCCGCAAGCTCTAACTTCGTTGCCGTAGCAAGGAAAGTACACATCTACCGACGAGTGTACCGGTTCAGACGGAAATTAGTATCCCATCAGCGAAGCAATGTAGGGCAAAAAACAAAACCAGCAGCTCTATTAGCATCTGTACACAATTTAGGCGTCCAGAACCTCTTCTGTGTATTTGTTCTTGTCCTGGCCGGCAAGTTTGGCTGCGGCTTTCCTTTCCAAAAGATCCTTTCGGTCCTTTCCCAATTTCAATTTGCAAATCACGACCTATCAGCACTTCAAACATCGAAAAATGACTCACGTTAGACGGATGGATCCCAATAGGAACGTAGGCACCATTGCTTTTGCGACATTGCACGCGTTCGACGTGGATAACAAACTTCTTTCTATATACTTTGATGACTTTTGCGGAGTTAGCTTCCTTGCGTTCTCCGCGAACTATTTGCACTTCGTCGCCCTTCCTAATGGGCATGCTGCGAACCTTATACTTGGCCCGTAGCTCCTTTGAGAGTGGTGCGCTCATTAAACGACGGCGAATGTGCGAGGGAGCATTGAAATGCCTCTTCCTAGACTTCCTCCGCGAGGAACTTACGTGCGGGTTGAACTTCATCGCAGCGCAGGGTACAGACACGCGAAAGTGAAGCCGGCCGCCAAAAGGGCGGTTTAAACAATCGAACTACCGAGTATTTAAAAAATCGAAATAATAACACCGAAGTCCCTTTTCTTCGTGCTCACTTCGGCCATCTATTTGAAAAATGCATTCCAGTCAATCACGTTGGCTAGAGTCTTGGCAGAAAAGCAGGGTTCTTTTCGCTCTTTGTTGGCAGTAACAGATTTCTCGGAACTCGCTTATGAGCAGGGCTATTTTTGCATTCAAAATGCAGGTGTGACGAAGTGGAAGGGCTTGTGTACTTGGATAATCCAGGCAAGCTGTCACAATTGTTTGCATACCGTAAAAATCAGCATAATCTTCTTCAGTAAAGCGGGGAAAATGTACCAGTAATCTACAGTAATTCCTTCCCCCCTAAACGACTCCTCGTATTATTACTTAAATCATAAAGAGGCATTCGAGTGCGTAACAGTGACTTAGCTGCCAGTTCGGGAACACTTAGCGGACTGAGCTGAACGAATACCGCGGTTGGCGTGGGGCAGACAGGCAAAAAATTATACGACGCGGACACAGACAATTTCGTTATGCTTGTTGCTGCTACGCAGACAGTAGAAGCCTTCGCATGGGAAGTTCCGTACAATTATCTGCGTGCATAGCTCACTGATCTTCTACGACCATCCTAAATCTGCGTGTACCAATACATATCTGATCACGTCGAAAAGTACTGAATTGTAATCCTAACTTCCGTCCTAGTAAATCACCAGCGCAATCCCCACCCCTTAATTCATCGCCACTTCCTACTCTCCTCCCCATCCTACATCGCCATGTGTATCTGACTGCTAACACAGTCGCAGAAGTTTAAGAAACTGTCCGTGTGAGGTCGGGAGACTCCAAGTCCAACAAATTATTTTCATGGCAATAATTCAGCAAAAAAATTATCGGTGTCCAAACCTATCCAGTGATATCGTTTGATGAATGTTTCTTCGTTTGTCCAAGTTCTTTCATCTCAGGACGGATTTTTTCTATATTCCTTCGTCTAATGCGGTAATTGCAAACATACACAAGTGAGATCCACCTGGGTTAAATTACTAACCGCAATATTCCGGGAACCATGTTGCATTGAAATTTCTGAAGCGGATACAGCCATGTGAAGGACTTGATAATACCGGAAAGAGTGCCTCCCCTTACCTTGACCTAACGTATCACGACACTCCTTAAACAAACTCACCTTAATGCCGTAATACATGATGTTGAACATTTTATAGGTCGATACCCTGCAAAGAGTACGCCATTTCTTTACCGCATGACTTGATGCACGATTCGCTACTTAAGCCGGACTGCCCGTGAGTTTAGAGGTGTCAACCAACTTGCATGCTAAGACAACGGTCTACGCTATCTCCACCGACTTCCCTCAACGTTTCGCCAATATCTAAGGACATCTAGGGACGTTATGAATATCCTTTTAGTTGCGTTATTTGATTCTATTTTGTCAACGAAAATTCCTAGTTCCCGACATTGTATGAATAAATTTGGAGCTTAAAATTTCTTTCAGACTTTTATCCCTTAGCTTTACCTCTTGGAACTCAGTAGGGTTCAGTTCAGAAAACATCCGTTGAGGACATAATCTTCAGGATTTTTGTAATTTTGCCATTGATTTGGTGCTGCGTGTCACCCGTAGACTGTCGATGCTTGGTGGACTGGTTAAAATAAATCAATAAATAAACATTTGTCGTAGCAAACATGACTGCAACGCTGGATATCTTGCTGTCAAATTACCTCCAGCCAAACAGACAAGGAGTTTAATAAGCTGGATGGATATCAATTGTGAAGGTGAAGCTTCGAACTCCTTCAGAATGTTTCAGAGATGGAAAAAGAGTTAGAGGGCATAAAAATGAAGCTAGATAAGTTGAGAAATCTACCTCACTAATTACCCAAAAAGAATATATCACTAACAGCTGAAGTTAAGAAAAAATGCACGCAAACACGGCTTCCTTAAGTTTATCAGTTTCAGTTTATTCAGTTTATTTTTTCAATTTCTTTGGCAAGGAAAATAGGCAAAGCCATTGAAAACCCTATTGATTACATGTCAGCTCGTTAGAAATAACTGTACACGAACAAAAAATATTTGCTATTAAAACAGTACTTGAATCATTTGAGTAGCATTGTCTCAGAGTAAATATATGTGGGGACGTGGGGTCTTAGTTCAGATTTAGACTGTCGAGGGAAAACAGGGGACACAAATAATCATCCAAGCGTTTCTTGAAGAGTTGCAGAGACGTAGCCTCCACGACTGACTGAGGGAGATCGTTCCATTTCACCACTACCCTCTGCTGGAAAAATTCTGAACGAAGATTCAGCCTGGACATCGTTGTCCGTAACTTCATCGAGTGACCACGAAGATTGGGTGAAAGGTGCCACTGAAACATGTCCTCAAAGCTAAGTCCAGGCTCAAGGCCATGTATTATTTTGTAGACGAGGATAAGATCACGTCTTTGTTGCCTGTAACACAGAGGGGATAAATTAAGGCAATTCAGTCTGTCTGTGTAGGATTGGCTATTTAGACCGTTGACCAGCTTTGTTGCACACCGTTGTACCCGTTCGAGGCGAGCTTGGTCCTTTACTAGCCATGGCCGCCATGCTTGTAGGCCATATTCTAAGTGGGGACGAACAAAAGTGCCGTAAACTCTCCCAAAAAGGTCTTGATCAAAGTTTACGAAAGCCCTTTTGATTGCATGCAGCACTCCCATGGCGTTTTTTCAGCCTTGTGGCACTGCAGTGTTGGTTTCGGGTTGTTCTATATCCAAACCCCGGGATCCTTCTGTGAAGATTCTACAGGGAGCATTGTATCTTTCAGGTGATGTCTCCTCAGGCTCTCATTTGAATGAGAGTTAGTTGGATGCAGATGAAAGATGGCACACTTCTCCACACTGAAATCAAGAAGCCATTTCTTCGGCCACGCTTGCAGTCGGTGAAGATTATTTTGAAGGGATCTCCGATCATTCGGACCCTTAATGACTGCAAACAATATTTTGCCGCAGTCGAGTTCCGAAAGGCTGTCGTTAACGTAAAGGATGAAGAGCAATGGTCCCAGAACTGAGCCTTGCGGCACACCACTGGTCACGTTCACCCATTCTAACATATCATCTCCGATACAGACACGTTGTTTCCGACCAACCAGAAACGCCCTTATCCAGTTCAGAAGATCTTCGCGGATGCCGATGGCGCTCAATTTGTGAAGAAGGCGCTGGTGCGGAACAGTATCGAAAGCTTTGCGGAAATCGATGTACCCGACATCGACCTCAAAACCCTCTTCTAAAGTCCTGCTCCAGATCTCCAGACAAGCTAGCACAGTTGAGAGACAGGAACCTCCTCTCCGGAAGCCATGTTGAAAATCCTGCAGGATGTTATTTTCTTCACAAAATTTCTGCATAGCGCTCTTTACTACAGCTTTCATCGTTTTGCAAGGAAGGCAAGTTAAGCTAATAGGCCTAAAACTGCTTGCTGTCATCCTGCTACCTCCCTTATGCAATGGAACGAAGTTAACTGTCTTCCACTGTGAGGGCAGCCTTCCTGTTCTCATTGACAGCTCAAAGAGAGTCGAAAGAGGCTTTGACAGCTCCGTTGATCACTCCTTAAGTATCAGCCCGGGAATTCCGTCGGGTCCAGGAGACTTATCAGGTTTTATTTGACTGAGGACCCGTCTGACTTCCTCGACGGAAAAGGCGACGGTTTCAATGACGGCAGATTTTTGGCGCATTTGAAGCTACTGGCTGTCTCGGTCCATTTCAAACTGCTGATAGTCTTCTAAGGACTCCTCCGTAAAAACCGATTGAAAAACTGAGACAGTAATCGCACTTTCTGTGGCCCTTCAACTAATAAGTTTCCGAGGCTATCCTTTAGACACGCAATTTCGTCGCTTTGTTTTCTCCTACTGCGGATGTACCAGTAAAACTTCTTGGGACATGTAGTGGATTCTGCTATCAGTCGGCGCTCGAAAGAAGTTCCAGCAACCCGTATTTGTTTGCGGCATTTATTGCACTGATCCTTATATTCGGCGAATGACCTTGGATCTCGAAGTTGCAAATACTTTTTCCAGAGTCTCTGTTTCTTCTTCATGGTCTTTTTTGTCATCGGATTGACCCACGGCGGTCGCGCATATGGTCATGTCATTTTTATTGGACAATGGGAATCAATCTGACGCTCTATAATCCCGCGAAAGTACTGCCAGAATTTGTCTGAATCTTCTGTGTTGACCATCCAGGTTTCCTCCAAAAGAGTACGTCTCATTGCGTTAAAGTCACCCTTCCAAATATTTCTGCGCCTCTTGATTTTTCGTTGTTGGTTGGATAGGAGGGAACACACGCAGGTAAAAGCAATATGATAGCTTAAACCGAGTGGAAGTTGTGGATTCACTTCCCTTATGTGTCCTTCTTCTTTACTGAAAACGAGATCTAAGTCGTTAGATCGTTGTCCTTCTCTCATTGTCCTTCTCAACCGAGGAGAAAAAAATAGTGGGTCTATTGACTTCGGTGTGAATAAGAATTAATGTCTGGTGGGAGAAAATTGTGACCAGACGGCTCCTAGGGAGCAGAATTGTCTTAGAGCGTCTCGAAGAGACACAGACTGTCAAATTAGGCAACAGAAGTTACCTACATGGTAAGTAAAAATCGTGCCGTTAAAGATCGCTAATGGCTAAGAAACCGGAGTGGGCGCGGAACCGTGAGTTAGCTATGTCCAAACAGATATTTCTAAACTAGAAGAAGGTGACAGGGATATTTGTCTATATACGTACTAATTAACCACAAGGCCCTCGAAATGATCGCAGCAAATTCACTGTCATAAAAGACATGTCTGAATCTGTTTCCGACACGCCAAAGAACAGAATACATCATGACAGAAATATTAAAACAATATCTTAAATCGTTCCTAAGAGAAAACGAGAAAGTCACCGCATTAATGGACTTAAGGATGGGCCGAACACAAGATTCAAAAGATGGGTCAGATCGACCGAGACCGCTAAAATTTGTCTTCCAGAATGACGAACAAGCGTAGCCCCTGTTGAGCAGGAAATCCCCAGTCTGAAATGCCCACCTAACAGTTTTTTTCTCAGCGGAGTTTTTCACTCGTGGAGAGGGAATCGGACATAGCTCAAAGCGGAAGTTCTCAGGAGATCTAGCCTCAGCGAAAGAAATATCGAAATACTTGACGGTGAAACCGTACATGCAGAGAGGTCATTTATCTGAGGAAAACCTATGACTGTAGAATCTTAGACATGATGAACATCAGTCCAGCTCCGTCAATACTGGCAAGCTTTCGCATTCAATTCCACGAAGTAGGCAGATGCCTGTATAACGAGGCTACTCTGGCAAAGTCGACACTTTGTTTACTAATGTATAAATTCTTGTTACGAAGATCGACAAAATTAAGGCGCTGGTTTCAGAACGAAACGCTGACGACATCGCCACAACGGAAACATGGCTAGAATCCGAAATCTTGACTACCAATATTTAAATACAGGGTTACCAACTTCTTAAGGAAAATCGTCAAAATAGACAGGGCGCTGGGGTAGTCGTATGTGTAAGGACGGGAATTTCGGCATTCGAACCAGATCACACCCTTTTCCTTGAATCTGAATCCGTCTGGGTAAAGATGAAGAAGAGTAACACACAAAATCTAGGGTTCCTGACGGCCTACAGTCCACCAAACCTTCCAAGTGCAGCTGACAAGTAAATTTTCATTTGGTCGAGAGCGTAGCTAGCTAGAGCTTTCAACGTAGCTGCGATACACTGAGAAAATCTGGCAGTTGACGGTGTGCGAACTCCTCTCAGCCGTAGGCTAATGTACTTCATACTGAGCCACCCTCCCTGACACAGCAGGAATAATTCATATTGACCCAATTGTGAAAAACTCGGCGCCCCGATGGGATTCGAACCCACCCAGTAAGGGGAAGGTTTTAGTACAGCCAACACTAACCACTTGGGCTACGAGGCCCTGCCGGGCGACGCGAGTTTAATCACATTTGGGTCAAGTTACAACAAGAATAGACACCAACGAGTTTTAGAGAAAAGCAGAGAGCCAGTTTCTTGGACATAGTTTTTATGAAAGACTTCTCTAGCACTGACGAAGTGCGTTCCAGTTCATCTCTCGACAATACTACAATACTGTGGCATCGCTCGCCCTCTTTTCAACCGCAGAAAAGCACGGAAAGCCAGCGAGATAGAAGGAGGGCAAATTTTAACATGATGAAGGACGAACTGATGTCCGTAAATTGGGACTGTTTGCTCAAGCGAAGACCAAAGGACGACTGGGGATCACTTAAGGCGACTTCACTCAATGGAACTCGCCGTCGGCGTCCAGTGAAAGTACGGGGACGACTAATCGCCCTGCCTGGTTTACCAAAGGCCTGAATAGACACTCAAGGATGTAAAATAAGAAGTGGGAGTTATTCAGGGAAGTTGGGTCACCAGTACAGCTCGAGGATTTCCGTCGTCAACAAAGTGCGGTCAAAAATGCATTTGTCAGACAAGGAAGGAATATGAGCCTAGAATTGTCCGGCAGGCTGGACAGAAGCCCAAGGTTGTATTCCACTATTGGTAGTAGTCGACTGAAAAACAAGGACCAGATCACAATGCTGAAGGATAATAATGACGTGGAAGTCGTTGAAGATTGCGAGAAAGCTGAATAACTGTGCTGATCTTTGCCTCGATATTCACTAGAGAAACAGAGTTTCAGAATCACAATATCAAGAATGTTGTTATGGTCGCCGGTCCCGTGCTTGAACCAATACTATTCCAGATATCTATCGTGGAAAGAGAGCTGCAGAATGTGAAAGAAGCAAAGTCGTCGGGTCCGAACAATGTGCCGACCAAATTCTTGAAAAAATTGTCGAGTGAAAGAACTCTGCAAACCACTAGCGCATATGTCCCACTCGCCATTCGAATAAGGGAGCCTGGCACCGGAATGGAAGCCAGTGAATATCTGCCCGACATACAAGTGAGGGACTTGAACTGATGCTAACAGTTATCGGCCCTCCAGGCTAGTCTGCATTTGCTGAAAGTTAATGGAAACCATACTTGGTAAACGAGCAATGAAGTTCTTGGGAAAGAGCCACTTACTCTCATGGCTCCAGCGCGGCTTGAGACAGAGCAAGTCTCACCTCTTCAATTTATTGCTCTCGACCGAGTTGTGGACATGTGAACTGTAAGAGGATCTTAGGATTGAATTCATCTAAACGGATTCCAAGCAGGCGTGCGACAATGTCCCACACAAAGTTCTAATCTACAAACAATCTGAAAAAGGAATGAGACGAAAGCTGCTGACATGGGTTGCAGATGTTCTTTCAGGGAGATCGCAAACCGTGTGCATCGATGCCTCGAAGTCAACTCCTACCCAACTCTCCCCCTGGGCTCAGTCTTAGGGCCGTTGTCTTTCCTAGTTTACAACAACTACTGTGTCGACGACCTAGGATGCAGGGTCGTCATGTTTGCTGGCGATGTTAAGCTGTGGAGAGTCATCGGATCTGACGCAGACAGGCACGCGCGTCGGGAGTGTCTCATCCGGCCTAGCAGCTGATCTGCTCGTTGGTCCCTAAATGCTAATGTTGGTAATTGTGCGGTTTTAAAACCCCGTACCGGAATGACCAGTGAAGATGACGGTTCCTTCTGATACCTCCTTGATGGGCAGCCCCTTTGAGGTGTTGAGGAACAGTTTGACCTCGGCATCCTAATGACTTCCTCGCTGGAACCATCTTCACAGTGTAAAATGGCAGCCAAACTTGCGGTACGGGTGTTATTTGCGCCGATGAGAGGCTTTGTGCGGATCGATAAGGAGCTGTTCGAAAAAAACCGACGGGACATTCGTTCCGTCTCACTTAGAATATGCCGTCCAGGCCTGGCGTTTTTGGTGCAAGATGCATAATCAACGGTTGGGAAGAGTACAGGCGAGAGCCACAAGGGTGGTCAAGAATCTTGGTTATGCGCCTCACGAAACTAGACTGGGTAAACTTGATCTGTTTTCTCTCAATTACAGGCGATTGCGCGGCGACCTCATTCAAACCTACCGAGTTGTCAGAGGTAGTGAATGTTCCCTAGACTTTGGCGACTACGTTCAATTGGTTGGGACGGCCCGTTGGCGTGGTCATCCCCTTAAACTGCAGAGGAAGTTGATCCATACAGACTTCCGACGGTGCGCCTTCTCGCAGAGGCTCATTAGAGTATGGAACGAGCTCTCTGACGCGGCAGTTCGTTCCGAGGCTGTTGCATCATTTAACTGCTGGTTAGGCACTCATTTGCTTAGAGACTGCTGCGTATATAATCACGATTGTGTTAGTGCCGGCAGTTTGCGCCTGGCTCACATATGCGGATGGCGTTAAATTTTCAGATTTGCTGATGTAACAGTTGATTTTATTGCTGTTTTTGAACATGAATATGG